TGATCTCTTGTCCCTCAGCAGAGATTTTAAGTAAAAATGTGGTTAATACTGTGATGATATTTACTGGCATAACTAAATACTGTGATGCAATTTATGCTGCTTTTCTCCAAGGCAATGTAAAGCAATCCCTATTTATTGTTAAGCTTTCAGAATACGCTCTCAAATAGCTAAATTCTACTGGTTGGAGAGAAGGGAATGAGAGAGGAAGATATCTTATGTCCTCCATCCTTCTTTCTTTCTGCAGTGAAAATAGATTTTCCTAACACTTGCTTTTCTGTTCAGTTACCAAGTTTCAATTTGTGATTCTAATCTCACAGAAAGCATCTGGATTGACTGAATTCCCTTAGTGTTCATGTCTGAACTTCCCTTAGTGTTCATGTGACTGTAGCAGTAAGAACTCATTGAGGGCTCAGTTATTTCACTGTGTAACAACAACGAGGTTGCCACAAGGAGGTTGCCCTCTTGGCCTGAGCTTGTTTTGCCTTTCAGGAAGGTGCCTTCAAAAGCATCATAATGGAGAACATGTCGAAGGATCCCTTGGTGAGCCATCCATCCCGATTTCTCCAGTGAAGATGATAATGGGAAGGAAAATAAAAGTCACCTTCTTTGGAGGTCAGTTTTCCCATACAGCTTAGGCAGAGTCTTAGGGAGTACTTGCCTGCTAACACAGCAATTAGGATTTGATGAATAAATCCTTTATTTACTCTCCAAGGAGACAACCAGAAAAAAAAAAAAAAGCCACCAGAAGAGATTTGCCGTTTAACTAGTAACACTTCTGTTCAGCAAAGCTCACTCTGTTGATCAAAACCAGGCTGCCAGAGCACATTATATATGGTATTTAGCATATTCTAAATGGTATTCAACATATGGAGGGTATTAGTATTTCCTGTTTCACCATATTAGAGCTCAGTGCGGAGACTATATTTAAGCTGAGCAGATGGGGGAAGTTTAGCAGCACTTATGCACTTGACATGTTATAGGTCAGTGAATTATCTGTACACATGAAACATTCATCAGTTCTACTTAAACTGTGATTTTGAAAAGTATGTATGCAGCTGATAAGGCAGAAAAAGAATCAGCACATAAAGTGTGACCACTGGCTTGAAACTTAAATAAAGCAAGTGCGTAATCTTGACCCAAGCTGATCTTAAAACATAATAATTAATTTCAGTTTGCTCACTTAACAACTCAGTCAGTTTTTACAGACTGTGTTGCAGATTGGAGTGTGAAGATTGTACCAAGAATGGCGTCTGATTATATAGCAAAGAAATCGGATGTCTTGGGGTCACAGACTCTGCCATTTTAGAAAATCAGAGAGGCTTTTGTCGTTACGATTGAAAGAAAGAGGTAAGTTATCAATAAATTAAATCTGTTACGCTGTTGACAAAGCATATTTTAATTACATTAGCTGAAAGTTTTGTTATGCTGTCCTTAGAACATATCAGTTGGAACACATCTAAAAGGGAAAAGAATAAAGAAACATCTTCAACTGTTCCAAGAAAATCAATCTCATCCCTGACATTAATTCATTTCTAAACAGGAAAATTAGCATACCGCCAAGGCGGCTGTGCATTTCCACAACCTTAGGTACTCTGCACTGACTCTTTATGAGGACATCAAATGCATGCCAGAATTACTAAAATTTCAAACTAAAGCACAGTTCTAGGCACACAGGAAACAGCAAGTAAATTTGAACAAGGAGTCAGCCTGCAGAGGTTAAAATGTTTTTATCTCATACCCCAGCCGACTGCAGTGATTTCCAGTAAAACTCTACTCTTGTAGAAAAGGTCTATTGCTGAACCTTATAACCATTATATACTGCCAGGATAGAGCAATACCATTTTCAGCTTGTATATTATAAAATATGTAAGAATGAAGGAGACAGAAGCATGGGTGGGGAGAGCCATTTAATAAGCCACAGAATTCTCTCTCTCAGAAGTTGTTTGAAAATATTTTGTCCTCTCAAACGCTTTGGGATATTCTCCTTCGCTTCAACTCTATTTGCATGAGGGTCAGTTTGCACAAAGCACAGGCAGTCCTGTCCAAGTGAAGACAACTTCCCCAGATTTCTCTTCAGCATCATGACAACTCTAAGGCGACACTAAAAATCTCTTGGGTCCGACATTTAAGCTATGGCTTTGTCAGCCTGCCAACAGAAGTAAGGCTGCTGAAGTGATGAACAGCTCAGTAACAGGACTGCCTGAAGCTTTAAGGTACAGAAAAAATCTAATGAAAATGAGTGGGTATGATCTATAGTCAAGTTCCATCAACAACTGCTTTGTACTTGTGCATTGTTTCTTTTTTCCTTTAAAAACAAGGAAACAGTTTAAAACAAACTTTATATGGTTCATCTTCTTTGTTAGAGCAATTGAACAGTCCCAGTTTTCTAAGAATTGAGCAGAAATTTTTGAAGATTCTCATCTGAACATAGGACATATTTTTGGCATACCTCTATTCAATGAAGTGGTAATTCTCAATGTATACTTAAGGCAGTGCAGGTCACGCTAATATGAAATGGTAAGTAGTGAAAGGCCATGGTGGACAGTAGCTATATTACATTATTTAAAACACACTATATAAATCAGCATAAACTGTTCTTTGCCATCACATAAACTTTTATTTAGTACGCATTTGTGGATGTATGTCTGCATGTATGCATTTATACACACATACATGAGTGTGGTATTGTCTTTGCCAATGGCCTTTTGTAAATACCGTTGCACTTTTTAATGCATATTGAGTATTGAGTTTTACATTACGTTACACTACAACACAACTCCCCAGAGAACCTCCTCAGAGAACAAGACTGTCGATTTGAACAGCTCATGCTGCCAGACAGACACTTCATATGCAGCACAGCCTTGGACCTTTTAGCTGTAAGATTAAAGCCTTTTGTCCTCCTTTGAGCAACTCTCTCCCCAGTCCACACTCCGCATGCGTCCTTTGAACCTGCTGTGAATCAGTGGGATCCTCAGGAATTATGGAGCACATCAGGAATGAGTTACCAGAGATTATCAAATTCTACCTTGTCTGGCCCTTCTGCACAAAGAAGGTACTTTACCCTGCTATAAGTTTACTGTCATTTCCTAATTACTTGCTAAGTAAAAAAAGTTGTGTCATTATTGTACCATACTTTTTCTTTGCTTGCCATGGATCAATTTTATGAACATACAAGGAGAATCAGATTTCTCCAAAGTTTATTTGCTTCTAGCAGGCATCGTCAACAGGTTTGTAGTGTGCAGAGTGTGAACAGTTTCCACCTTCACCAAAAATTTTGCAGTCTTTGATACTGTGATCTGTTATCATCCACTACAAAGTGAGTTGCTAAGGAGCTGTTCAAGCTGTTCAGCTGCCCTTTGACTTGGGCCACAAATGCATTTTTCCTTTTTTTCCTTTTTTTTTTTTTCCTAAAACCTTATCTTGTATGCCATAGGCAAACCAAGGTACAGAAAACACTTGCTAAAACTATTGCCTGTTGGAGATACATTCCAAAACCAAAACAAGCAAACAAAAAAAGATCCTTGCAATAAAAAGCAATGTCATGCAGTACTGGATAAAAGGAAAGGTTGTAAAGCAGGGCTACAGGGAAGGCAAAGGATACTCACCCTCTATGTTTGGGCCATGTTTCTCTACCTGTTGCATGCAACAACCAGAGCCCATCCATCCCACTTTGTTTTATCTATCCCCCTTATTTCGCCCTGGTGCAGCCTTAGCAGATTCCAAAAGCAACCCAAACTATTTCCCTGTTTTTGCTTATTAAAAACACTATGAAAAGCCTTTAGGAGGTTTTGCACAGAAAAAGAGAAGTCAAATAATGAAAAGATATGTGAGATCAGTACTGCTCCAGAATCACAAACACATTTTTCGGCTCAAAGTCGTTCTGGTCTCTTCCATGACCCGTGATAAAGGGATAAAGAACACCAAGGCTTTAAATATTACTCCATACTGAAGTCTAAACAATAACATCTGCTCTAAGCATGACTATGGTACAAGGACATCAGCTGCACAGCAAACTTTTAGCACTGTAATGCTGCTGGAAAGGGAAACTTACCTCCAGCTTCTGAGTTCTTCCCTATCCTTTCCACACATGATGCCGCAATAGTAATGTCCCTCTGGCGGAATTTCCCCTATCCTTTTCCCCACCCAGCTAATCACTTGTTTGGAGCTTTTCCCCGCCTTTTGAATGGCACAGAGAATTTAAAAAAAAATGTTGTAAAAACACTTACTATGTCCAGGGTGTTCCGAAAGCACAAGCCAACACTGGAGACCATGTGACAAAACTACAAGGGAAAAGAAAAAAACACATTAATGTCTGAAATTGAATGATGAACATTAAGGAGTTATGATTTACATACTGGTATTTTTGACCACCAGAATCAGCACTTGCCGTATCTGCAACTTCACAGATACGGCCGTTATCAAAGCAGAGCAACTGTGAAGTTCAGCTAAGGATGAAAAGTTTGAAGGTCTTTTGGAAGTGCTGACGAATCAAAGATAAATAGGAGCATGAAATTTACAGGGCAGGCAGAGTTGAACCACGTAAACAGACAAAGCCTGCTTTGATTTCAACGGCAGGCTTTTCACAGCCCCCTGTGAAAGCAACAAGAAGCACAAATAGCCTTTACTACAAAAACGTCATGGGATGGGCTGCCTGGGCACATCCCCTTTCATTCCTTCTCAACATATTTCACCACATGTGAAACATCCACATATGTGTGAAACACAGCACCCTCACTGCCCAAATTGCCTTCCAGTTAGGCGGCAGCCTTCTTGAGCCTACAGACTTCCCATCTTATGTTATTTTTACCCCCACACTGGTGCTGTTGCTTAGCTATGACATTTGCTGAGCTTCCTTAGCATGCCAGTGGAAAACAAAAATTCTGCATCTCACTGAGGGAAACTTTGTAACACCCTGCAGCTCCCCTGGCGCAGTCCGGCCCCTCACAGTGAATTCCCGCAGCCAACGACCTGCATTGGCAAGAGGCTGCTTGCGCTCAGCCCCCTGGCAGAAAAGCCTCCACCACCAGGATGGCCTCACAGCCCACGGGTAGATTCAGGCACAAAAGATCTTCTCTGAAGACACACGGGTGGCGACTGCCCCCAACCCAAGATTACCACAGACAGATCTACAGTGGGAGCAAGGGGTTGACTCCTCTAACAGTGGGCTGTACACCTCGTCTTTAGGAGAGAGCTGTAGAAGGGGCACGTTAGCATCCCCTCACAGTTGTACCTTTAGGGGAAAAAGCTGGATCACATTGTGCCTGCTGCATCAGGGTCCAGACACTGCTATGCAAGACAACTCACCTGCTGCTTTGCAGACAGAAAAACATAAATTTTCCTATAGACTGACAAGGCTGTGCTGTGAGATGATGATGTGGTGTAGCAAAAGCCACAAACCCATCAGCCTTGGAGAAAAACACTGGGGAAAACGTGAGACAATGGCGAGATCCTCACTCGCCCTGAGGGCTAACACCAAGATCTGCAGGAAGAAAAGTGTTGCACCAACAGACTGTGGGAATCAATCAACCAACCAACCAACCAAACAAACAAACAAACAGAAAAAGCAGAGTGAGTGGCTATTTCTTCGACACACCTATTTCTTCGACGCACGAGGCTCGGCGCGGGCGAGCTACTCCTCTTGGGATAGCTGCAGCCCCGCCGCCACGGCGAGAGGACGCTGGGAAACGCTCCACAAACGCTCCGCACAGCCCGCAGCGCGGGGGAAGCCCTCAGCGGGGCGCTCTCCACCGGGGCCGCCAACGGCCGCCAACGGCCGCCGCGCTGCGCCTCTCCCCTCCCCCGCCCCGCCCCCCGCCCACGGACC